TAAACAGAAAGTTTATATTACACGATTTTTTATATTGTCAATCAGTTCTTGTTTAATCCCCAATCCTAGAAGCAATGTTGGGAATTCTTTGCGAGCATCGTTATATTAGTAAATTTTCGCTTTTTTGTTCATAAATTTTTTGATGAATTTGAGATCTAATCTTGCCTGAAATTTGATACGAGAGTCGAAATGTTCAATACTTTTCATTTAATGAATTTAGGAATTTCCTTTTGTAAATATATATGTGATGTGTATTAAAAACGAAAGGCAATTCCTTTTCAAGCGAATGCGACTTTCAGTCATTATTCTGTATACTTGGTTCCTTTACCTTCTTTTTTTACGAGAGATAATCGAAATACCGTCATCTCTGAAAGGAAGTCAGATAGCATCGCCTTGGGAATGTTTTCCCGAAGAGATCCGTGTTGGAAAGGGGGAACATCGGTATACATTCCATGGGAATTTACCCACGATTAACGCCTGTACTTTGCGCGTGGAAAATATAGTCGTCTTTATTCACAATTATAAAAGCGAATTAATAGTAATTACATTCTTACGTGAGGCGTTTATTTCGAAATTATACTCTGTAGATGTAGCAAGGCAAATTTTGAGAATTTGATTTTTATATCGAATTATTTCGTACCCTTATTACATGCGAGAATTCGTGATTTCCCAAAATTTGACTTACGGCATGTACAAATGGACTTGTTGGACGGATAACATTCTGACTATTCGCCATTGCCTATTGATTTGCAGAACTATTACAAATGCATTTCTCTCAAATACAAAATTATGCATAGCCACTATTATGCCCATGTTACACTGATGTACACACGGTGTATATAATCGCTCGGAGATAATAATATGACAATATGGATTTCAGCCCCAGATTTGCCAATGATGATTAACGAGGCGATAAAAGGAATAATATTTTATACAAAGTGATGAAAAATTCTTAATCGTAAGTAAATCATGTACAAATCTAACAACTTGTGTACATATAAATTGTTATTTTTCTTTTATGAATTTTTATGAATTATATAAATTAACAGGTATAGATATGCAAAAATAATAAAATACAATACACTATATTTTATAATATAAACTGTAGCATTATGTAATTTTTTAAAGTTACCTGCACAGAATTCTTACATCTTGTATAACGTAATATGAACGATGATAAACATATTAAATATGTAAATCATAAATCTAAGTTATTTTTCGTCAATCAGTTGGAGATAAATCTACGAAGAAAGGTAAAACGATGTTACGAACGGAGTTTGTCGTAATATGAAATAATCTTAAATCGATGTGCATGTGCTCGCTAAAAAACCAAACTGAGAAAGTTGAGCGATTTTAACATTAGCACCTTGCAAAATATATCTGCGCCGTTCAGTCGCGGTCGCATTGTAGATTTGTATTTCATTGAATTGTAACTTTTGTTACTATTTGATTCGTATCGTGCGTTGCTTATTCATATTTGTGAGCATTAGCGAAATATATGAGGTCAAGAGATCATCCATCTTGTAACCCAGTGAGGTTTCGCATAAGAGTTTCGAGCCACGCACGAGGTTTCCTATTGTCATATGGAAATAGGTATTGCCGGATGACCAATTAGAGATTCTTGTAAAAGGATGCGTAATAAGTATGTCCTGGAAGTATACGTATGATTTTAACATATTGTTAATTATCTTTAAATTGATAAAATGATAAGAAGTTGATATTGTTGATATCAATTATTCACACTTTTCTAATTCTACACTAATATACATTCTTCTCATCGAAAAGAAACAATGTGAAATGATTATCCTTATTACCTTTGATTGAGGATGTATGAGGCTCACACCATGTTTATTAATGGCGATTAATAACAACTCGGGATAATTCGGTTCCGTGCTTTGTTTTACTTCGAAGAACGCGGAACCGAACGTCGGCCATCGATATACGATCTTCAGAAATGTAATTTTCGCATCTTCCGGACTCATGCCTGAAATGAAGTAAAGTAACCCTTGCAATTTTCAATTGTAACTTTTTTCATAGTAAAGAACTCCAACGAATCGTTTCATGCGTCTTACCAGCATCTTGATTATAGGCTGCGATTATCGATCTTTTCCAATCATTAGCACTTTGTATCTTGATCAAATCACCCGGGATGAGTTCTCGTAGCATTTGTCTGAAATCAAACATCACCTTACTCTATAGTTGCGTTTGTAACATTTCTCTCTCACAGGACAATAAATAAATAATATGACGAATAAGCTTACGGAATTGCTTGTAATTCTTGCTTGCTTTCGCCGAATCGTACTCTATACACTAAAGCCGCCAATCTCGATGCTTCTTCTTTCGTACATTTATGATAGCCTAAACACGTTTATCAATGACAATACATCATAGTCGAAATTATAAATATTAGAAATATTAGAAATTATATATATAAAATTAGAATGTTGTAATGAAACGTATAGACTCGTAATCAGAATTATAAACAATCGTCGTTACTTGCCTCTCAGTAACTTGGGAAGTTCTTGATGAAAATGGAAAATCAAATCAGCGTTTCTGTCTTTACCAGGAACTGTATTTGTCCAAAGTTTCTTCATAAAGAAGACTTGGTAGGTAAACTGTGGTGACACTCCTGAATAATATTGAATGTTTAATATCAAAATATGTTTGCATAAGTCTGAATGTATGAGCGTATATTTATTAATATAACGAATATAAAAAAATTTTTGCTTATATTTTATCAGTCTATAGTGAAATGTATAATCAAAAAGATATTTGTAGAATTTTTTTTGCCTCTTTCCATATTATAGTCCCATGTTGTTATAGTAAGAGAATGAGAACATAAAAAAACAAGGACGTACCATCTCGCGATGGTCTAGCTTTCCTGATCCAATCCGTTAAATGTCGTACGAAATCGAAAAAGAAATCGCCTTCCGGGACAGAAATAACCTTATCAGCGATCTTGACAAATAGACTAAAACCCTCAGCAGATCGTAGATTAAGTCTTTGCGCAATATTCTGACAAAAATCTTTCGCTCTGGTAGACGAATCAACTTCAAACGCCTGTAGGTCAACATTATAAATTGAAAATAGTCGATGATCGACAGAAAAAAAGATCTGTGGAAATAAAATATGTACCTCGTCCGTATCGTCAGGGAAATAAACCTTGTGAAATATTTGTGTAGTTTTGTGCTGAATAGCTTCCACTTCCACTTGATGCGGTGGATACTTTCGTTGACCATTGCGTAACGTTTTTTGCAATCTTTGTAAGGAGTCCTGCGATATGGGATGGCGTCTTGTACGCAGAAATAGAGTTAATTCCTGGTAATGTAAAAGATAATATAGATAAAAGAAAAGAGAAAGAAAGACGAAATTCTATTGTACGTTATACCTTCAAGAGACTTTGACTACAAGTGAATAAGCCAGTAGCGAGCCACATTAATTCCCATCCTCGCTCTTCGCTCAATCTGTTTCGATTATCGGTGAGTTGTTTCATAATCTGACAATAAATCTCGTCTCGTAAAATTTCATTTTTCAACGGCCCGTCAAAAATCAGATCGGTGTACTCGTTGCCAATGCGCGGTCGTTTCGTGGGCAAATCGCCCATATACTTTAGAATGGCATTGAAAGCGAAGCACGCTTCTTCGGCCAATTCTTCCTTGGACACAAGTTTCTTCAGAAGGGGTTGCTTTATCGGTTCTCTAGAGTGATGCCATAATTCATCCGTATGACCACGTCGCGCGGATGTCAAAGTCAACGTCTTAGACATTGTCCTTTTTGGTGGTGTTCTGAGATAAATGGAATCGGAGTTGTTTTAATATTGTTCTTTTGCAGAATATAAAACATGATGTTAGCTTTCTATTTACCGGAAATGATCGATTGCGTATTCTAGAAGAGTGTGAGGTTTATCGCGAGAATCCACACCATTAATTTGCTGCGGATAGAGCCTGCGACTATTTTCTGTACCTTCTATACTGAATAAGGCCTGAAAAATTATAATCGATGATGAAGAATAAAAGTTCGAAATTTCCCGAAAACAAGAATAATTTATACATTAACATACCAATATATCATTTGGTGGTTTCGTCAAGGAAGGTAGAATGTAAACCGTCTCAGCCGGGAAATCGCCCTTCTCGCCAGTCCTCTCACAAATTCCGACGTACCATCCCGAATTAAGCACTGTTTCGCCGGTGCTCTCGTCTTCGAGGACAATGAGATCGCCCTTTTGAAAATTCAAAAACGACGTGCCCTCGCCGGGTGCTTTGTAATCTTGCAAGGCTATAACAAACTTGCTGCGCTTCTTTAGTCCTTCTAAGAAATATACTACCAGATCACGAATATCCTCCGCATTTGGGCTTTGGAATGTGAATTCTTCTCCCCGTACCGTCGATAAACTGAACGTTTGTGTGAACATCTTATTTGTTCTATATGAAAATAACATCAAATTCAGAATGTATAATGTACCATATCAAAAATTTTTCTTTCTACTTTTTTCAC